GAAAATCAAGAACGCCTCTGACAAAAGGAACTGGAGATAGAATGCTGAAAAAAAGAGTGGAGTGAGACTGAAAAGTGAGAGAAGGAGAGCGAGAGGGGGGGAGAGAAAAGGGAGGGGGAGTTGGACAAGGAGAGATTAAAATTGTTTGAATTGAGTCCACGCTCAGCCTATTCATTTGGTATTCTGCTCAAATCAGGGCTTTTGTTTGGGCCAAAGTAAAGTGGCGTCAATCATCTCGACCTGGTTTTGTATGACTGAAGAATTTATTATGAATTTGCAACCACACATAATGACGCCCCCCACCAGCCCCCCAAAACTGCACCCACAATCTCCATCGCATGTCAAACTAGCAGAATAGGAAAGAGAGAGAGAGAGAGAGAGAGAGAGAATGAGAAAGATAGAAAAGAAGAGAAAAAGAGTGAAAGGGAGAGAAAAAAAGAAGAGAGAAGAGAGAGTGAAAGAGAAACAGAAAAGAGCAAAAAAAAAAATATATATATATATATATATATAGAGAGAGAGAGAGAGAGAGAGAGAGAGAGAGAGAAGCAGAGAGACAAGACCAACAACAGACAGATGGAAAAAGAGACAGGCTGAAAGACAGAGAGAGAGGGAGAGAGAGAGACAGACAGAGACAGAAAAACAAAGTGAAAAAGAGAAACAGACAGATAGAAGGAGAAGAGAGTGAAGTTTGCCACCACCAAGCCGCTCTCTCTCTGGAACCACATCAAAGTGACAGGAACGTCCAATCAGATTTGTCTTACAGGCATTACATGATGAATATGGTGCAGTCGCGGCACAAAAGCGCCTTTGTGGAGGCCTGGAGCGGAGGCCATTCATGGCCGCAAACAGCCAGCCAGAGTGGAAGTAAATGGCCAAAAGGCCCTCACCGAAAAAAAAGCAGCCAAACTTGTGCAGCACAATGGCCCATGCAAATGACAGCAACCCTCCAGCCCACATGGTGCAGAAAAAGAGAGAGAGAGAAAGAGAGAGCGAGAGAGAGAGAGAGAGAGAGAGAGAGAGAGGGAGAGATTCCCCTCCCCTGTTAGGTCGTCTGAAGTTTAGAGCTCCATTCAGTTTGGCTGAGAGGTGTCAGTTGAAAGTATTAGACTGAGCACATTCAAGCCCCTTTCTTATTTCAGTGTAAAAAAAGAAAGAAAGATTTTTTTCCTTCTTTAAAGATAGAAGTCCACTGACTTTTTTGTCCGCGTGTGCAGCCAACCTGAAGCTTTGCAGAAAGGAGAATGGCTTTCTCTTTAAGTCAGGCGTTCAAATACACTGCTGAGGCCTCCTGACGTTAGCCTGCTTGAAGAGAAAAGGTGGAATAAAACCTGATGGCCTTCATTCGCAGCAGAGAAAGCCACTGTTCACCATGTTCCCTGGAAGAAGCAGATATCCAAACATTGTGGAAATGTGAAAATCTTCCCTGAGTCTGAGTGTATGGCTGACATCTGTAACTGACATACATAAGACTTAAACATGGATTTATTCTCCTTTACTGTATCATCAGTGAGATCTAATGACAACAGTCAGCCATACACTAACACTTCCCGTTAGAGCCACTTTAGCACTCAAGGGATTGAGCCTGTCTTGCCTTCTTAATACATCTGTGTGTCCAATTAAGGACAACACATTTTGTGATTTTTCCACAACCAGTGTGTTATATTGTGGTAGTTTCTTTCTACAGGCCCCTTAGTGTCCATTCTGCTGATGGAATGGAAATGGATTGGATATGTAATGTAATTAAATAAACTAGTATTAAACTATATTATTATTTACTAGGACTCTGGCTCTCTGTCTGTGAAATGCTTTTACTCTGTGTTGAGCTGCTAGCGAGCAATGAGGGGTGGTATGCTCAAGGAAATGTCTTCAGTGTCTTTAGTTAGGGAACATAATTGAACTATATTCCATTACAAGTATATTTTTTGACTAACATTAACTCCATACACATTGCCCTGACTTTTTTTTATTTTGGGTTTCTTATTTTATTTTTCTATTATTAGATTCCTGAGAAAAACTTAATTATCCCCTTAGATGGCCAAGGCCCACCGGAGGCCCAAACTTTTATTACACACCTATGACCTAAGAATAGTTCAACCAGTTTGCATTGAAATCCCTGTAGTTAATGAATAATAAGCCTTAGTGTGTAATAAGCCTGCGATTTTAGGGGGTAAAGTACACAGTTGAGTGCCATAACTGTTGGCACCCTTACAAATTCTAAAATCTAACTAACGTATATTCCCATTCATAAAATAGTTTATGAACCTGAGTGATTGGGAATGCTTAAATGGTCATCCATGACTTGCTGTTTCTTGCTGGGGTATGAATATGAGGTGACACACAGGCCAAATGAGAAAGACTCCAAGGGAAATCTCCAAGGATAAACACAACAAGAAAGCACAACATCCCCTAAACTATGTTCAGACACCACCTATATAACCGCAAGTTGTTTGGGGGGTTGCCAGAAGAAAACCTCTGCTGTCAAGGATCAACAAACTCAAGCTCACATAGTTTGCCAGACGTTACTGGAACTTCCAGTGGGACCATGTTCTGTGGTCAGATGAGACCAAAATGGAGCAAACCCCAGAGGTGAGTTTGGTGTGGACACAAATATAGCCATGCAGAGAAGTACTTCATCCCCAATGTGAAATACAGTGGTGGATCTCTGATGTTATGGGACTGTTTTCCTTCCAAAGGTCCTGGACAATTTATTCAGATATTTATTCAGGTATCACAGACCCCATTTAGTACCAGCAGAAATAAAATCAAAACCTGACTGCCTCAGCCAGGAAGTTTAAACTCAGCCATAGTTTGGATCTTCCAGTAGGACAATGATTTCAAAGCACATCTCAAAACCACACAAAATGGTTCACTGACCACCGAATTAAGGTTTTCTCATGGCCACCTCAGTCGCCTGACCTTAACCCCATAGACAACCTAGGGGATGAGGAGAGTCACATTGAAGAGGAGAGTCACATTGTGGACCTCAGAACCTGAAGGTTCTGGAGAGATTCTGTATGGAGGAATGGTCTCAGATCACTTGTCATTTGTTCTCCAGTCTTCAACCCTCTGTCTCCTTACTGTCCTTAAGCGTTATAGGAGAAAATTCAGAGCTGTTATCTTTGCAAAGGGAGGCTGTACAAAGTATTAAACGAAGGAGTGCCAATAATTGTGGCACACGCAGATTTGAAAAAAATATTTATTTTGTAATAAGATTTAGTTCATGTGATTTTAAATAAAAGTTAGATTTTTATAACCCTTAGATTTGTGGAGGGCACTGTAGATAGATAGATAGATAGATAGATAGATAGATAGATAGATAGATAGTGTGCCACATGCTGAACTAATAAGAACAGATTAATACAATGATAAATAGCGAGACGCTCACATCTCTGAAGATCTAACAGGCCTCTGTTGACCACACTGATCAAAGAGAAGCTCCTTTATTTCTCTTATTGAATAATAAAGCTCTACTGGGTGATTTATGCATTTTTCCATTGTGCTTTTTAACATATAGTAAGTTGTATAAAGGGATGAATGACTGCTGACATAAATCATTTGCTCTTTTTCCTTCATGTGCAGAGTTGAGGGGACAGGCGCGAGCCGCTGGCCAATAGGAGCGCAGAGCAGCTGCGGCACGTGGCCTGCACCTGCCGCCGCGCTGAGGGCTACTAACGCTGACCCGTGGAGGAAGATCAGCTCTCCAACACACGCTCTCAGAGATACGGCCTCGCTGTGCTCGCTGCATGTTCAGAGATTCTTCACAGGCGCGTATAAACACGGAAAGCCGGTGCTCTTACCCTTTACTGCACCAGTAATAAACAGATAAATACACGCATCACTGTGTAAACAGTGCCCACGTTATCCTGCATTCAACACGGACTGCGGTTCTATAACTGCTCTAGGTTGTTATGAGCGAGTGGCATTCACTGGGTGTCTAAATGGGCCTAACCCTCTTCTAAAGGGTCATTATGTGAGGTCCCTGCTCTTTTATTACACTCATTTCAAATGCAAACGCCCGCAGGTGAAATCCAAGTCGTGATTTCATTTCTGCTCGGCTGGAGTTGCCACCAGTGTTTGTTTGCAATGGGGAGTGCTATAATGTGCATAATGAGGCACAAAAGCCGCGGAGTGTGGGGCTTTACATTTGCAGGGAGAGGGCAGTCTGACTGGTTTGTGGGAACGCTGATAAAAACGCAGCTGGAGGATGCGTGCAGGGTACAGGCACGACTTTATCTGAACTGATCTGCGCTGGGTAAAGAAGGGATGTGACCCAGTTTGTCCCCCTGACTCGACCGAGCCTTTATTTAAACGGCCTCAGTGCCCTCAGAATGAAGGGGAAAATAATCCATCTAGTGTCTAGGGGCTAGGACACAAAATGAATCATGCCTGTCCCCTTATTTGCCCTGTTATCCTGCCCTGATACATATGCAAAACTACTTCCTATATTATCTTTCCCTTTGTGTTAAATATGTAAATGCAAAAGAGCAGCCTAAAGCTGGCTTATCTGACTGATTCATAGCTCATACAGCTGCAGCAAAAACGAGCGTGCAAAGAGACAGAGGCAGAATGTATGTATAAATAGAGTGAATTTATTTATATAAAAAAGGGAAACAAATTTTTTTTACACAAAATATATCTGTTAAGATCGCGTATATGTACATTTTCGTAGTCTACGGAACACTGAGAACAAGTGCATACACTGTGAAATGTCTCCATACATGCGCTCTCGCTCATCCATGAGGAGCCAAGTGTGTCTAAATCAGTACATGATCTACTGAGCAAAACTCTATGGTCAGTGTTAAGAGCAACAACATGATTTCCTCCGACTAATAACGCTAACACATGGTCATTGTCACAGAAGAGGCAGTGGACATTTTTTTTCTCGGTATACAAAAATAAATCTTCATTTTTAAAAAAAAAAACAAAAACAAATACAGCTTATAATAATGCAGAGTCTCCGCATAAGGGGCGCTGACGTCAGCAGCTGCTGAGTTAAAACACCCACAGCTTTCCGTCGCTGCTCGTTAAAAACAGTTACAAAGAGACGCCACGTTATCAACATAAAGTCCATAATTGCACTTATCAGCTCGAATCTTTCTGCCCAGGCTTCTCCAGAGTCCCTTTTATCCTTGACACGTTGAACTTGCGACGTTTGAAAATCCCCGTTTCTCTCGCAGAAGAGGACGAGAGACTCGTGAAGCTGCTAAACAGTTCGCCTCTACAGAAGGCTTTGTTCAGAATCACTCCCCTCTAGAGAAATAGTGCACTGTTTAAGTGCGCGTCAGCTGCTTTGTAGTGGTGTCCCAATTCTCAAAAGTTGTAGGCTGCACTACAGTTTTCACGGCCTTAGCCCACTGTAAAGGAGTGTGACTAGAAAAGGCGAGTCACCTGACAAGTGGTCAGGAATTTAGTATGCAAACACACATAGCTTTCATTTTTTAGCCAATTTCGAAGACATTCACTTCATGTTAACATTAGAAACTTGGCAAGAGCTGAGATGTTTAAGCTGAGCTGACATTAGACTGTGCTTTGATCAACTTTTTAGATATATAAATCATCTGTTTTGGTCAGTTTATGATACTTTTCCAGCTAGCGAGCTGGTTTGTTTTGCTCGCCAGCCCAGTCTGTCGATGCTGGTTGCTAGGTTACCGGCACAGAGCGTCATGGAAGGCTGCGTCCCAAATCGTCGCCTTGTTTCCCTGGCCGGTTCACTAGATAGTGAACTGCACAGACTCGTTTAAACGGGGCGTAGTGAGGGAGCGAGTGGTAACTTTTCCGAACACAGCTCCAGTAGGCTAACAGGACGCGTCCTCCTCTGCCGCACGGGCGACCGGGAAAGCACGGTTCTCCCTCTCCTGCCCCTCTCCTTCGGCTCGGCTGAGGGAGCCGCTCAGTATCTGTCGAACCAGGTGGTGAAGTCCAGCAGCTCCTGCTCCTCGGAGCTCAGCTGCTCGTAGCTGCCGTCGTCCGAGGAGTAGGAGGAGTGCGGAGACTCGGGCTCAGCGGAGTAGCTGTGGGACAGGCTCGGGGACGGCACGCCGCAGCGGAAGGCGGCCGAGATGGCATCATGCTCGTCTAGCAGCTGCTGCAGCGCGCGGATGTACTCCACGGCCGAGCGCAGCGTCTCCACCTTGCTCATCTTCTTGTTGGCCGCGCCGTTGGGCACGTGCTGCCGCAGGGTCTGGAAGCCCATGTTGACCTGCTTCACCCGGTTCCTCTCGCGCTCGTTGCGCCGCGCCACGGCCACGGGCTGCTGCTGAGGGAGGCTGTAGCCCAGACCGCTGAACGTCAGTCTCCGCTTGCAGCGCAGCAGCTCCGGCGAGCTCGAGCGCGGTGGCCTCTTGACGGCTCTGCTCGCGCTGGAGGGAGGGGCCACGGAAACGGCGGCGGCGACGGCGGGGGCGCGCTCGTGCACGAACGTGCACGTTGCTGTAACGGCGGCGGGGGCGGCGGTCTCCATCTCCATCACGGGGTGCAGTGAGGCTCGGCTCGCGCCACCAGATCCGTCCTCAGACCAGCGAGGCGAAAGACACAACAGTGATAACAAACACAGCAGTACAGCAGTGGCGGCGCACCGCGCTCGTGTCTTTCGCGTGCGTGTCCGTTCGAGTCCAAATCTTTGCTTTGCCCCCCTAAACCCAGTGCGCGCGGTCTGATACAAACTTTGGCAGCACAGGGCTTTTTCAACACGCGCGCGTCCACCCCACCCCTTTAAAGAGACGCACGCTCCTCCGTGAGACCCCGCCCCCGCTGCGCGCGATTCTTTTACACACCCACCACCTCTACCACCGCCGCCACCCCGCCTCAGTGAGCCAGGCGCGTGGCTTCGCCGCCTCAATAAACAATCCGGGCGCTTTCAGCGCGCTAGCACGCGCTCCGCTCATTTACATACCAATACCGCGCAGCTCGAAAGGCATTGGCTGATTCAAACAGCGTGGAAAGGGGGAAAAGAGAGAAAGAGAGACAGAAAACAGAGCCAGAGAGAGAGAGAGAGCCAGAGAGAGAGAGAGAGAGAGAGAGAGAGAGAGAAGAAGAAGAAACGGGGAGCAATAATAAAACAAGTGAATAGGTTTGTGCTCTGAGATGCTGTTGGAGTTGAACAGTGTGCAGTGTTTCACTCAGAGGGGCTTTAACACCGAACAGACCCCCGCAGCGGTCCTCAGTGGAGGCTTTAAAAAAGCTGCTGTTTGGAAAAAGTGGACGCCAGAGTAAGGCCAAGTGTGTGTCCACTGCTTTAAGCCTCACATTGCACTGAAACACATTTAGGGTCCCTATCGACTTCCGCTGCCCACCACAACTACATACAGAAGAATCAGGATCTATTATATATAAAACTGGCTCTTTGAATTTACCTGATTAAAATGTGGCAAGTAGTTGCACACGAATAAAATGTGTTACGTCACCACAGTCGCGCTGATTGAATACATTTCACTTGTGTGCGACCCCTTGCCACATTTTAATCATGGCAAATTTTTCTATGTGAACATAAACAGTCGAATCCCAACAAAGGTTTCGCCAATTAAATGTTTTGGTGTTTGGTATTTTGTTCATTTTCTAAGTGAAATTAATACGTCCCCTACAGAGAACACGCTTCTGCACATTTCAGTGCACAATTATTTAAAGAAATGAACTTATTGGGGAAAAAAATGTGGCATGTGGAAAAGTTATGGCACATTTTATGTTGTATGTTTTTCTTGTCAGTATGTTAAACTCAGCACCTAAATAGGCATTGTGCACTAAAACACGATGAGCACATTTATTTCAAGCTAAGATGAAAACATAGAATAGCAGCTGCACCATTTGATCCAATCAAAGACTGCACTCTGCAGAGCAGCCTTACAGAAATGTACACCGTTTAAAGTGGACCTGTGCGCTGCTGGTTATTTTAAACCTAAGACGCGGTAAGGAGGTTTGCCTTATGTTCTTTGTCGATATATAGAAAAGCTGGAACTAAACACACTCGCATCTCTCTAATAACTGATGACAAACAGAGGACTAAATGAGATAAACGCTTTGTCTGACTGGGCTGAATAGAGCGAAATAATAAAAATAGTGGAGACAGCAGCGTCTAGATTTATTTACCGAGTGATTTCACTTATTACCGTTCACTTTTCCTTCTCTTAACCAAACAGTTCTAAGACTCTTAGAAAATAGATGAGTGGGGACATCTAGTGGCCATTGGTGGCACGTACAGTTGCAATGCTGCCATATGAACAAAAGTATACAGATACTCCTAATGACTGAATTTACCCACTTTAAGGTGCACACTCTGCTGATACAGGTGTTCAGTTGTGCACATACCTCTTAATCTCCATAGAAAAGCACTGCCAATAGAATAGAAAGTTCTGGAGCAGGCACTCATGAACATAAGGTCACAATGCCCAATGCAAAGCTTCAGCTAGAGGGGTATAAAACCCTCCAGCGTTGGACTGTGGTGCAGTGAAACTGTGTTCTCTGTAGTAATGGAGCTCCATCCAGCACCTGAGGGATGAGGTGGAGTGGAGTTCATAACCCAGACCTGATCATTTAACATCACTACCTGACCTCACCAATGCTCTTGTGGCTAAACATCTAGTGTAAAGCCTTCACAAAAAAATAGAGCCTGTTACTGTAGCAAAGGGGGCAGAAACTCCTTGTTGATTTCAGAAGAGTGCCGGAGGAGCAGGTAATTACAAACTTTTGGACACAGTGTGTATGCAATGAAATGTAATAACACAAAAAAATTTAAGATATAATAAATACTAAACAATTATTTATAATATAAGAAGCAACGTATGAGGAATTCATTGATAAATTAGTTAAAAAGCTAATTGTTTATATAAACACATTGTGTATATATGCTACAAATAATATAATGTTGAACGTGACAGGCTACCACATTTACACTATGTACAACACATCTTGAAAAAATTCATTGTAAGTCAAGTTTCTCTCATTATCACTTTTTAGAAACATGACAAATTATTCACATAGGGGTGAAATGGAGTAAAGTAAAAAAATTCAGCTGTTAAGAAGGTGTGCAGCATACATTTGTCCATTTTTATAGATACTAATGTGTTACACAGTGTCAGAAACCACCTAAGCAAGTTTTAAGATTGCTTAACATACAAAACTACACTATGTAAGATTGAAGGATTTGGAAACCTCTCTGGTGGCAATGTGTTATTGCATACAACATAGTTGGTTGTGCTCCAGACCCCTCCCCCAAGCGGATGAATCTGACAAATGTGAGCGAGTTAAAAGAGTATTCAATGAGAACTCATTCAAAGCTTGGTGAAGGACGTGTCTTCTGAGGATGGAAGTGAATTATCTACTATGGTCATCATACACAGTAACTGAGGTGAGTGTATGATGGTTTTAAGGGTGTTCAGACAGCTTGCTTCTTTTTGATGTTGTTTATGGAGCAATACAAACTGCAACTGAAAAGCACTCATCTAGCCTAGCAAAGGCTAGCAAATTTAAATTGAAAACCCGTGAACTTCGGCAATCATGAAAGGCGGCTTCCACAGCTGACAAATCATTATTGAGGATGCCTTCACTAGTCATTCATCTAGCATGGAGGAAAGCTTATTTTGGCTGCGTTCAAACTCAGTGATGTGTATTTTTGCTTTTTTGCTGTATTTTGACATAGAAACATTATTTAAGTTTTTTATTTATTGTATGTATATTTTATATTATTATATTTATTGTATATGTCCATTTTGGAATGATTATCTTGGTCTTTCACATTCTCTGAAATAGCTGTCTCATGTTAGCCTGGTTAGGGTATAGCATTGTAGCTCTAAACTAATGAAGCAAACACCAAACATGGCTTGGTTGATCAACTACTTTTTGGGTATAGAGAAAATTGTGTAAATTATTTTTTTCACTAATCTATTACTTTAAGAACTAAAGAGGTTTAAATTTAAGAACAGAAACATGCATTTGTCAAATCAGTGATTGTAGCCATCCAGCAGAGGGAGACAGCAGCTAAATGTTCCGGCTTAACTTTCTCACCCGACTTGCTTTACCAGCTCTGTTCTTTTATCTGTTCAGTCTTTTTACTCCTTCGTCTCCTACACACTCAAACCACTGAAATTTGTACATGACTCGAGCCCCTAAACTTTCTCACTGAAGAAAAAAACAATGAAAGTCATGGTAGCTGTGTTATGTATGGATGATTTTTAGGGGCTTTCATCATGGTACTTTCCCAGGAATAATTCACATGCCATGTCACATGTCATCACATTCTATTGTCTTTGAATCAGCAGAGCTCTTTTCAAAAGAATGCTGATCTGTAGATTTTAATGGTCCTGTCATGGGAATCAGTAGCCTCTACTGTAAATGTAGGCACTTTACCACAACTGGATCCCATGTTTCATAAGAAACTGATCAAAAGAACCAGCCAGACGAACAAAAAAGGCTTCATTTTTTTCTCAGCTGTGACAAACAATACGAACTATTTTGTACAAAGATGTATGATCAAAAATAGGTAGGTTGAAAACTCTTAGAATTCACACCAGCACATTCAAATGATCCCACACTAACACGTTCAACTCAACCTCAACCAGCACATTCAACGGATCCTACATTAGTACATTCAATTTAACCAACATCAGCACCTTCAACTGATCCCACACCATCACATTCAACCTAACCCACACCAGCATATTGAACTTAACCTACATCAGCACATTCAACTTAACCCACACCAGCATATTGAACTTAACCTACATCAGCACATTCAACTTAACCAACACCAGCACATTCAAGTGATCCCACACCAGCACATTCACCTTAACCCACACCAGCATGTTCAGCTTGACCCATTTCCGCACGTTCAACTGAACTTACACCATGCATTCAATATAATCTGACATACTCTTAGCTGAACCCACACCAGCAGGTTCAATGTCATATGTCACCTTTTTATTTTTACCAACACCAGCACAGTCAGTATTATATAATGCACTCCCTTTACTGAATTGTCATCCATCACACTCCTAGTTCTATTCATTCATTAGAAATTCATGCAGTTGCATTATTACATAAATAGAAAACATAGATAATCGTTTACTTTTCATTCAGTTTTTTTAAACGTTTTTTTCATTATTGAATCATGATCCCATTATTATGAATGGAATCAAATCATGAGCTGAGTGTAACACCCTCTATCAGGCAGTGATGGTGTCATAACATCAACTGTGTTGTTAAGATTTTTCATTCCTTATTGCTCTCAAAAATCCTACACTTGCACATTTAAATAAGAGTCGAGGCATGTTGCTTGAGCCTGACTCTCCATATGTCAAACGTACCCCTGGACTTTGGTACTTCTCTATCTGCTAAGAGTTTTGTCTGAGAGAGAAAAGGGATGTGAGAGCAGTGTTTTACAGTGATGACAGAGGGGGACGCCGGCATAGCTGAATCAGGTCATTCCTGTGCACATTGAGAAGAGCCTCATTAAAGCAGGCCAGTGCTTCCAAAGAG